GAAAGGCTTGGTGATCCACTTCTGAAAAATCAGACATTGAAAACCTAGAGAGCATAGTTCTACTCTGACATACATGGGGTCGCCATGAGTTACAATTGACTCAACAGCAACTGGTTTAAAAACTCAACAGTAAACTTAACCAAGACAGCATGGAACTGGCATAATGAGAGGCATATAAATCAATGCAATAGAATTGAGAATCCAGAAATGAATCCATGTGCCTCTGGTAAACTGATTTTTGACAAGGGTACTTTCATGGATTGAATTGTGTCCCACAAAAATATCTGTCAACTTGCCTAGATCATGATTCCCAGTATTGTATAATTGTCTACCTTTTGTCATCTGACGTGATTTCCCTATCATTTTAATGTAATAAGATAGATTAGTGGCAGTTATATTGATGAGGTCTACAAGATTAGATAGTGTCTTAAGCCAATCTCTTTTGAGATATAAAAGACAGAAGCAAGCAGAGAGACAGGGGGACATCATACCACCAAGAAAGCAGAGCCAGGAGCAGAGTGCGTCCTTTGGACCTGAGGTTCCTGTGCTGAGATGTTCCCAGACCAAGAGAAGACTAATGACAAGGACATTCCTCCAGAGCCAACAAAGACAGAAAGCTTTCCCCTGGAGCCGGCACCCTGAATTCGGACTTCTAGCCTACTGGACTGTGACAGAATAAACTTCTCTTTGTTAAAGTCATCCACTTGTGGTATTTCTGTTATAGCAGCACTAAATGACTTAGACAGGTGCCAAGACCATTTAACACAGCAAAAAATAACTACAAACTTGGTGGCGAAAACAACAGAAATTTATTTTCTCATAGTTTTGGAGAAGCTAGAAGTCTGAAATCAAAGTATTGGCAGGGCCATGTTTTCTCTAAAGGTTCTAGGGAAGGAGTCTGTCCTTGCTTCTTCTATCTTCTGGGGGCCCGGTGTTCCTTGGCTTGTAGACGCATCACTCGAAACTCTGTCTCCATCTTTTTTCCCTCTGTGTCTCTTCTCCTCCTCTTATAAGGACACCAGTCATCTTAGATTAGGGCCCACCTTACTCCAGTATGACCTCATGTTAACTTCACTAAATACATCTGCAAGTCACTATTTCCAAATAAGTTCCCATGCACGGGGATCAAAAGAACATAGCTTTTTGGAGGATACAAATCAACCCACAACACTACCTTTTGGTTTGTTTTATTTTAAATCATTCTTCCTGGCACTTTTCTCATTTTTGCCTTTGTTCCTTTCATGTCAACATTGTATATTCAAGGGGATATCCCCATACTCTAGGTTCTAATACAAGATAAAATCAAAACCAAAGCCATTACCGTCAATTTGACTCCAACTCATAGCAGCCCTGTAAGACAGAGTAGAACTACCCCAAAGTGTTTCCAAGAGGTGGCTGGTGGATCTGAACTGCTGACCTTTTGGTTAGCAACCACAGCACTTAACCACTATGCTACCAGGGATCCCTAATACAACATAGAAGAATTAAAAAGGGAGATACCCAGTAGGCAGGAGCAGAGGGCTATTAAGGAAGTATTAATTCAGGACATAGGCAAGAGGCTAAATAGAACTTTAAGTTGTTTCTCCACATACACAATTTAGAAAGAGGTTGTTTCTCATTGGTATGATCCCAAAACATCTCAATAGATAATTGGTGACTCAAAATTATTTTTACAGTTCTCGTAATTGTCAAACACTGGCTGACTTAGCTATCTAGTGCTGCTATAACAGAAATAGCATAAATGGATGCCTTCAACAAAGAGAAATCCATTCTTTCACAGTCTGGAAGGCTAGCAGTTCATATTCAGGGTACCAGCTCCAGGGGAAAGCTTTCTCTCTCTGTTGGCTCTGAGGGAATGTCCTTGCCATCAATCTTCCCCTGGTCTAGGAGCTTCTCAGGCACAAGTACCCTGGGTCCAAAGGACATGCTATTCTCCTGGCTCTTGTTTCCTGGTAGTATGAAGTCCCCAGGTCTCTCTGCTTGCTTCTCTCTCTTATAATTCAAAAGAGATTGACTTAAGACACAGTCTAATCTTGTAGATTGATTCCTGCCTTGTTAACATAACTGCCAATAATCCCACCTTATTAATATCATAGAGATAGGATTTATAACACATAGGAAAATCACATCAGATGACAAAATGATGGATAATCACACAATACTGGGAATCATGGACTAGCCAAGTTGACAGATATTTTTGGGGAACACAATTAAATCCACAACATTCCACCCTTTGACCCCCCAAAATTCATGTCCTTGCCACATGTAAAACACATTCACCCCATCAAACCATAGCAAAACTCTTAAATCAACTACAAGTCCAAAATCTAAAAATTACTCTTCGTTTGTGAAATCTAGAATACAAGTTATCTGCTTCCAAAGTACAGTGGTGGAACAGGCACGAGCTAGGCCTTTCCATTACAAATGGGAGAAATTGGAGGGAAAGTAGGGGTAATAGGCACCAAGCAAGTAGGCAAAACACGTTGCATTAGCCCTCAAGACTTGAAAATAATCCTCTGTTGTCTGAGACCATTTACACGATGGTACTGCCCTCCAGAAGCTGGGTTTTGGCCACACTCTCCAGATTCTGGGCGGAGGTCCCTCAGCCCTGGGCTTCAGCTCCACCTTCCCAGGCCCACTGGAATGGCACCTCTGTTCCCCAAGCTTTGAGCGGCCCCATTCTCCTAGTCCATCTGAGTGGCGACTCCACCCTTTGAGGATGAGGCAGCTCTGCTTCCTGGTTCCTTGGCCTCTTGGCCCCTCAGGACTCGCTGCCCATATCCTCCCTGCTGGATAAGTGTTACAAAGCTCTGTAGCTCCAACAACAAGTGCCTGGAAGCACCTCACTCAACAGTAAACTTTGGCCTCAAGGTACTCAGCTCTCTCACTCCATAGGTTGGCTCCAGTGCCGTCTCACACTGGTCTCCTGGTTTTGCTGCTGCCAGTCCTCTGCTGCTGCTTCTCACCATCTGCACCATCTCCAGTGCAACAGCTCTCCTCACTTCCTTCTGAGTCCTCACCAGAATTGTCTTTGTTGTCATAATTCCACCAACAGTCTCTTCAAGGCAATCTGGTTTTGACTATTAGGTATTTTAAAACTCTTTCAGCCTTTATTCATTCACAGTTTCAAAAGTGCTTCCACATTTTAGGTATCTGTTAGAGCAGCACCCCATTCCCAGTATCAAATTCTGTCTTGGCCATCTAGTGCTGCTATAACAGAAATTCCACAAGTGGATGACTTCAACAAAGAGAAATCCATTATCTCACAGTCTAGGAGGCTTGAAGTCCAAATTCAGGGTGCCAGCTCCAGGGGAAGGCTTTCTCTCTCTGTCAGCTCTGGGGGAAGGTCCTTGTCATCAGTCTTCCCCTGGTCAGGCACAGGGACCCTACATCCAAAGGGTGTTCTCTGCACCCAGTGCTGCTTTCTTGGTGGCATGAGGTCCCCAAGTCTCTCTGCTCACTTCTCTCTTTTACATCTCAAAAGTGATTGACCTAAAACGCAACCTAATCTTGTAGATTGAGTCCTACCTCATTAACATAACTGCCACTAATCCCACTTCATTAACATCATAAAGATAGGATTTATAACACATAGGAAAATCACATCCGATGACAAAATGGTGGACAATCACACAATACTGGGAATCATGGCCTAACCAAGTTGACAGATGTTTTTAGGGACACAATTCAATCCATGTCATTACTTGAACTATTGGAAAGACTCCCGGATATCTAGTCTGTTTATTCTTCAGTGTCTATCTCACCATTAAATATAACCATCCTCCAACTTAAACATCTCTGTTTGATTAACTTAGCCTATGATATATTACCTCTACATAAGATACCTGAGAATGTACACTTACTCCTCACTTATCAACTCTCTCATTATCCGACGTCTCACATTTATGACAATGGTAAAAATACTACCGTTTGACTACTTTGCACATTAACGATGTATGTCTGGCAGTAACAAATTCTGAGGTATAATGTGAGAGTAACACTGGCTGTGATGGTTAAGGTAATGTGTCCACTTGGCTGGGCCATAATTCGCAGTGGTTTGGCAGTTATGTAATGGTGTAATTTGGCAGTTATGGAATGATGTAGTCATCCTCCATGTTGTGATCTGATGTGGTCATCCTCCATTTTTTCGTAATGCCCATTTTCACAAAATGATCTGGTCTTTAGAAGCTAACCATGTCTGTTAGTGAGAAGCAGATGTATTGCTGTCAGTAATTTAGGGAAACGCCCACATCTGAAGACTGTACGTCAGGAAGGATCCATGCCTTCAAAATCACATAACCTCACACTACCCTTTCCCATCCTTTCAACACTGTTCTCTTCCAGCCGAAGAGATTACTGACAGTCTCAGCCCAAACTTGTTTCAGATTCAGTATGAATGTTTAACAGTCTTTTCAGATAGATTCAAAAATCTTCATTCAGCAATGACTTTTCCTGTTTGTGTCTATGGGTCCTGTTGTCATTTAGCATATCAACCGTTAATGCAATCAGATTTTGCTTGTCTTCCTAGGCCAAGGTGATCTAAGTTCTTCCTGAAACATGATAAATGTTAAATACATGGGGTAAACTTTACACAAAATCTAATAAAAAGAAAAATATATTCATTAGGGAGCATTAAATTTATTCACAGTCTATTGACTGATTTCCTTAGAACATATAAAATATATATACTATAGGTCTGATTGCATAGAAATTAAACATAAAAAATTAATGTTAAAAATGAAATAAATGATCACAAATGTTCTCACAAACAGTTTTGCCTACATTTCTCCGTTTTCTTTGTTGGCAGATGTTTGGGTGTGTATATTTTCACCACCATAAAGAAAGAAAGAAGAAACCAAACAAACAATTAGAACTGCTGCCATGGACTTCTCAATTTCCTCGTTTGTGTTCCTTTTTTTTGAAGGTAATGTATATTTTAAACAGGAAACTTGAGCCCACTGCATAAAGTCTTCTGAGTCACATCTCTTAGCTTCACCAGAGTAGATAGAGAAGCTCTATGAGGTTAGCCTCTTGGAAAGAAGCCAGACCTCTATGGTAACATCTTCAGGGAGAGTGACATAAGATCTCCCAGACCTCTTGATAACAGGAGGTCAAAAGAGTGTGTGTGCACACAATGGTGCTAAGACAACCTCAGGATAGAGGTGAGCTCTCTTCTGGGTTCTAGAGAAGGTGATAGGAGAGTAAGGAAATGAGAAAACAAGCATTGAGATGATGGGGATGACTTTGGAAAAAGAAGACAGCTCTTAAGGAAAGAATGGTGAAATCATAACAATTTCAGTGTTGAAATGGGTATGGGACCAAGACTCAGTGAAAAATGAAGAAAGGAAAAAAAAAAAGAAAACAACTCAGGCCTAGAAGCATTTGAAAGAATAAGAATTTGATCATACGGAGAGGTGAGAAATTGACAATAAAATGATATTGGAGAAAGGCAGGAAATCAGTGGAGGATATGAGATTTAAGGGGAAGGAGTAGGGAATTGGAAAGTGCAGTTGACTCTGGGTTAGTTTTGCGTGAATTTGTCATGGGCTCCAGGTTACTACCTAGTCATTTGTTCTGAGGGAATTTCTGTGACATCTTCTTGCTTTCACAGTAGTTCTTTTTAAATGACTGTTTGCTCATAGTTTGACCACCGCACTGTTATACACTCCTTACGAATCTATTTGCCACGGCAGTGGGGATCATAACTCTGTGCATTTGTCTTGCTGATCTGACAGGGAGAGAAGTCTGGTGGCATCAGGTGAAGGTCTGGTCTGCTGCTGTGGTTTCCGTCTCACTCCTCAGTGCCTGTTTCATCGTGAGCTGTTTGGGTGAGTTCTTGGCTGAAATGCAGCTGTCTCTTGTTCCTTTTCTCAATCACATTTTATAAAGATCCCCAGAAAACGTAGTTCCTCCTTTCCTCCTGCCATAAAATGGCAACCCTTACTGGAAATGCCATGTTTTTCATGATATAAGTTATTATTATTATTAATCATTTTGGATAATTGTCTATATTCTAGGTTTACTTTGCCTGGTCCTGGTTGCATTTTCTCAATTGTGATCATGACCTCATCTCTATATGTGTGTCGCTTGTAGTACTATCTAAGATACCATCTCTCACTACCAGATTTATTGGTACACCAATGTTGATCTGCTCATTTGTTTTTAAAAGCCTTCTACTGGCAATATAACTAGCATTCCTTCTATGATTACAATACTCTGCGTTGTTGATCTTCACATGGAAGTCTCCCCACCATGAGAAGGAAAATTGTTCAAACAATGATACAGAGTAGGAATAAAGGAAATAATATCATTCCTGCTCCCTTTGCCAGGTTTTATATCCTGGAGGAGCCTCAGAGATCTCTTTATCCTCCTTTTTACCATTTGGTTGTCATAACATACTCTGTTCTCTGGTATTATAAATAGAAATCTGTGAGGAAGTCACTACATATGACTTCCTATGTCAAGTGAAAACATGTTGGTGATACAGTCTGCAGCTTCCTTCAAGTTATAAATATATCTCACAGGGTTTAAAGTAACCTTAAGAAATGGAATCATTACTAAAGTTCAATTTTGTTTTACTGTTTATGGGATAGGGCAAGATAAAAAGGGATTCGAGGATGGCTATTTAGTATTTTGGAGCCCTGGCGGTGCTGTGGTTAAGAGCTTGGCTGCTAACCAAAAGGTAAGCAGTTTGAATCCACCAGCCACTCCATTCAAACTATATAGGGCAGTTCTACTCTGTCCTATAGGGTCGCTATGAGTCGAAATCCACACATTGGCAACAGGTTTTTTTTTTTCAATTGTCTAAGAGCAAAGAAGATATGCAGGAACTCAATTAAGAGGAAGACAGAGAAGATGGGGTTTAGTCTCAAAACCAAAATGATGAAATAAATGACTGGAAAATTAAGGGAGGATTGGAGAAAGATCACATCTTGACCTCTGTGTATGCCGATGAACAACGAAACTGTTTTTAGTGAAAGATGTCTGAAACTCTCCAAAAGTTTAGGTCCCATTTTTTATTTCGCACAAGATATTCATTTGCAGTTATCAGCAGTCAGAAAGCTTCAGGAAAATCAAAATATCTGTGATCTTTTAGGATTAGCAGAGTTAAGGAGAAGCTGTTAGTAAGTGAATCAACAAATATTTATCGAACATCTACTATGTGCTGATCACTATTCTCGGTGCTGGGTACATAACGTGAATACAATGGAGTTCCTTCCCTGGACTTTACAGTTTACATCCTAGTAGGGGGAGACCAAGATATATTTCAAAATTTATAAAAAATAAGGTAAATGAGTATAAGAAAGCAGGATTAATAGTATATTTTTTACTGAGCTTTGACTGAAAGAAGCGAGAGGTGATGGGGTAAAGCCAGCATGGGTAAAGTGGAGTGGGAGAGAAAGACTGTGTAGACTTTGTAAGAGCATAAGGCTCTATAGCCCAGCACAGATACACTAAAAACAATCAGAACTAATCCTTCTTCCTCTTTTCCAGTGAATCATGATATTTTTGTGAATAGCAAAATTGGGAAGAAGCTGTCCAAGCAACAAGAGTACGAACCATTTCATTCAACCGTGACCTGCCACATAGAAAGAAAGGGGCTAAAAGGTACACCTTTGCAATGAGGAACAAGACTTCCTTTCCTGGAAATCAAATTCCTAGTCCAATATTTTGTATCTTCAGCACTGAAGCTTTTGAACTCCAGGCTGGTTTATCCTACTGCTGTCTTAACTCTCTACTGGAATGTCTTAAAAAGAGATCTCAAAATTAAAGTATCAAACAAGGCCCTAGATTTTATTCTTAAAAGTATCTCTCCTCCAGGTTTCTCTATCCCGGAACTCCCTGCTTGCCTCCAAACCTAAACCCTGAGAATTATTTTTTTTTTAATTTTTTTAATTTTATTTATTTTGTTGTTTTTGACTGAGAATTATTTTTATTTTTTAAATATTTTATTGTGTTTTAGGTGAAGGTTTACACAGCTAATTAGGTTCCCATTTAACAATTTTTGTACAAATTGTTCCCTGACATTAGTTACAGTTTTCACAGTATATCAGCATTCTGATTATTTCCATTCTGTTTGTTCCTTTTCCATTAATCTGGCTTCCTTGCCCCTCCTTGCCTTTTCGTCTTTGCTTTTGGGTAAATGTTGACCATTTGGTCTCATGTAGTTCATTGTTTAAGGGACACATTCCTCACAGGTATTGTTGTTTATGTTATAATCAATCTATTGTTTGTTTGTAAGATGACCTCTAGGAGTTCCTTCAGTGCTAAACTCAAAGGGTTTCTTAGGGCTACAGTCTCAGGGGTTTCTCTAGTCTCTATCTGTCCAGTAGATCTGGCCTTTTTTTGTTCCACATTTTTCTCCCATTCTATGTGGGACCTTCTGTTATGTCCCTGGTCAGAACAGTTGGTAGTGGTAGCCAGATACCATCTAGTTCTTCTGGAGGATCATTCTTTTTTTTTTAAATTGTATTTCAGGTGAAGGCTTACAGAACAAATAGTTTCTCATGAAACAGTAGTACACACATTGTTCTATGACATTGGTTAACAACCCCACAACATGTCAACCC